ACTATAACAAAGGTCTAGTAATCTTAATATAGTAGTTAGGTTGCTAGACTGCCATATAAGAGATCTAAAATTCAAATCTTATTGTCAATAAATTTAAATAATTACCTAGATCTTTGTATCAAACTTATTATAAATTTGTCTGTTTCTGGACTTATAACTCTATAAATTATATTGTACTAATATCAAGCCGATATTAGAAGTATGATATAATGCTCAAAGAGATATAATGTTATATAAATAAATCTTAATAAAATCTATGAGTAAAGGATCTGAATAGTAGAAATTTTGAGTTAGGTGAAGTAGTATAGATTTTAATATTTATACTAGTTAATACTTAATTCAGTAGTACTAAAATGCAGATCGAGTTAAATATAAATAAGTCTATTTTACAGAGAAAAATAGCAACACTAACCTAGCTTGGTAGTGTTATATTACTTCTACTTCTTTAGAGAAAACAACTAACTAGAGAAACTAATAACAGAAAATACTTTCTATAATATCTCTTGTTACTATATTTTGTCAAAATCTTTAGAGCATTTTTATAAAACTTAACAAAGAAGATTTAAAGTAATTTGCAATTATGAAAGAGACAACAATTAAAGATAAATGAAGATATTAATAAATATTTATTTTAAAGTATCAGAAAGATACTTTTATTGTAAAAGAGTATGAAGACTTAATAATAAAATCAAGATCCACATATGCTATTTTTATACTTTTCAAAATATTAGAAATATAACAGACTATATATATTACAGAAGCTATATATACTATAACTATTACTAATAAAATATATAATATAACTAATATATATATGAAATATATAATAAATACTATATATACTATATATATAATAAATAATAAAAGTGTTTCAAAAACTATAGATAATAAATATATTATATATAATGCATCTCTTGCAGTAGTTGCTTAGCTAATCAAATTGCATAAATTATGACAAAAAGCTAAATTTTGATTATTTTGAGATTCATTAATTGAATTTTAATAATTCTTAGCTCATTTGAACTATCCCAGTAAGCTGATTCTAATGGTATATATTTCATCTAATTTAGACTAGTAGATCAAAAGTTATTAAAAAATTTGTATTTTTTTTTAATATTTCATATGTCAATAGTAGCTAACTGAATTTGGAAGGATCTATTTTATAAAATATTTGAAAGACTACTGGTGGATAGCCACAGTAGAAACTGAGTTTATATGAATATCAACAAGAATACAAATCTCTGAATAGACTATAAAATGAGTACAGAATATTTTGGAATAGAGGTCTAGTTTGTAAGTAAAGTAGCTTATAGTTCTGAGTATACTATATATTTAAGTTAATATTACAGAAAAAGTATTAAAAATTAAAAGGTTTAATTAGGAATCTATAAGCAGATCTTAGATATAGCAGTTAGTAGATAACCTTCAAGTAGAACCTTTAAATAAATAATAACTAAAATTATACATATAGCTAATTATAGTCTTATTGATATACAAAATGTAATACTTCTCTATCTAAGTATAGGTTTGTAAATTTTAAAATAAATAAATACTAGAACATAGAACTTTCTCTTTAAACTATAAAAAAAAACTACAATAATAAATTTTTACTAACTCATAATTAGTAATATCTAAGTTTAATATAACTTAATAACAAATAAAAAACTATAATATTAAAACAAAATATAATTACTAGTAACTTTATTTAATCTTATCAAATTACAAAATATTAATAGTATTTTTCATAAAGTTTAAACTTATAGTAATAATAAAATCAAAAATATAGCAGATTACTTAGCTTTATACTACTCACTTTTAGAATTTCTTGAATTTAACTACACAAATTACTTTAATAATTCCTATATATTCTAATAGAAAAACTTCTCAATTAAATAACTAACATATAAATTTTTTAAAAATATTTATAATACTTTTATAATAGCTATGTTGTCTTCACAATTTAGAGTACAACTTTAGTAGCAATTCTTAAAACAATTTAACTAGAATATAATTTAAGTAGTAATAATAATAATATTTTATATTTATCTAATTATACTAATTACAAACTGAGAAAACTAAAACCTTCTGAATTAAAAATCTTTTAAACAATCTTTCTACTATATCTATATAAAGAATTCTACAAACTAGCTTAATAACTTATAACTTTACTATTCATAAAAATATCTGAATTAGTATATGAGTAATTATGAAAACCTTATTATGCTAAATTCTCTGAATAGAAACAAACAAATAATATTAAACTTCATAAACAAAATTCTTAAACTAATATTATACAATTAAATTTACTTCTAACACATTATAGCTTTAGCTCAAATAAAGTTAGCTACATATATGAATATTTTAAAAACAATATAAAAACTCTTTTTGCCTTTTAGAAAAACTAGTATACTATAAACTTTATATTTAGTCTATTGAATAGATCAAATATAGTATTTCAACTAATAATATAATCAACATTCAAATCTAGATTAGTTATGACTATTCTAGTAGGTTTAAGTCACAAATAAATTAGTCTAAGTTTCAAATCTTGCTATATAGTCTAAAATTATACTTTGTAATATTATAGTATACAAAAATTTCCTTTGTAAATTTTTAATTATACTATTAATAAAGATAGAAATATAACTTCATCTTGGCTTTGCTTAAAAAAAAAACATAACAATTATAAACTTCTAAAACAAACTCTAAAAAAGTTTAGTTTTACTAAATTTAAATTTATTAAATTGGTTTTTTTTATTGATATCTCTATTATAATTATACTAAGAATATCAACTTTTTGTATAAATTTACTATTTAACAAAACTTCAAAAGTGACAAAAAGCTTAATAATATAAAATATTACTTTTAAAATAATTTTTCTTTTTTTTAAATAGTCTAAGATATTAAAATAGTAAAAGTTCTTTAATATAATAGTATTAGATATTTCATATACTTTTATTTATTATTTTTAATTTTCTATATACTATTACTAAATATGCTAACCAAACTCTTAATTATGAATTTTCTTCGATAATCTACTAAATAAAATCTATTTAATTGTATTTACATATTTAATAGCTCTAAGATAAACTAAAATTTCTAATACAATTATTAATTTCTGCTATTTTAAGAATACCAAAGCTTGTAACTATACTAAATCTGCTAATATATATTTGTATTATTTTATCTTAGAATTTGAGTAAGTCTATTTTGTCTTTTAACTTTATATACCAATTAGTTGTTAAAATATCTGCTAATAAGCTTTCTATCTAGCAAACAGTTTATTTCTTTTTTTTAGCAATTTTAAAAATTCTGATAGAATTATTCATTCTAATTTTGCTAATTATTGATAATAATCGAATATATTAGTTTCATATTTTCAAATTTCTTATTTGACTAATTTCTGATAGTATTCAAATGCTTTGCATCTATTGATTTTGCTTCCAATTCCTAAAATATAACAATAACTAATTTAAAAAATTCTGTTAAAATTATTAATATTTGCAGATTTTGATAGTAAGTAAAATCTTCATATTCATCACTTTTAACATGAATTTATGCTTATTGCATAATTCCAATTGAGCCTTTTGAAAAAACCATGATAAAGCAATTTAAGTTTGTAAGGATTATTTGGCACAATGGATATTTGCATCTTTCTGATTCCATTTCAATAACAAAATGCAATGTAGATCTTCTGCAAAGTGGCCATTTCAGTAAATTTACACTTCAAACATAACCTCCTAGAAACCCTTTAACACGAGAAGGTCTATCACCTAGGGGTGAGAATCAATTCTTAAAGTTCTTTAGATAACTATTGAGAATCAATTCTCCAGAATCGATTTTCTATAAGTTTTGAAAATTTTATTAAGATAATTCGATGATCGATTCTCACCCCTACTATCACCTCAGTTTGTTTTTGCAGAAACTTTAGCCACATGTAATCGATGGCCACACCGGCACAATTATATAACTACTTCGGCTTGGGACTGACTTCCATTCTCAAATACTCTTTGAATTAAACTCAGCGAGGGCACAGTTTTTTTTTTTTTTATAGCCGTGAAAGATATCAATTTATATAACTGATAAAGTCTCGATAAAGTGGATTCAATCATATCGAGTACCACTTTAATTGCATTTGATATTTTTTGTGTGCTAATAATTTTGCTAGTGTACATAGAATCCGAGTGTTTTGGTGATATAATTGGCAATTTTTCGACTTTTTATCTGCATCTATACTAGAAATTCCTAACATTGAAACGACTTCGCTGGACAACTATTAATAACAGAAAGGAAGAGTTGGTGTCTGATATGGAAATGTTTAAAACGTTAGTAAAGCTTATGGAAGATAATATTAAAAATTATATGCTTTATTAAACTTACAAAGTCATTAAACAACCCCTTATCGCTGAGGCTGCTATGTGCATCGAAGTTCTTAACATGAAAAAGCAACAACCGACCTGGAAACAAAGGAAAGATGGAAAATTAGCCTTCTATTTGCGTTAAATATAAAATGAATTATTAGTATCTCTTTTGAAATGTAACATATAATAGCGATAACGAAAGTATAATTTGTATAATTTGAACACATATAAATTTTGTAGTACTAGTTATCATTTATCGGTTGATTGATTATCTCTTGGAAGCCTCTGAAATCACAGGACCGAGGATTTTTTCTGACATGACTTGTTTATTTGTCATTGGATGAAATGGTTCACATATTATGTATGGATTTCAAATAATTTTAACAAAAAATCTTTTGCAATTCTATAGGGGGTTTTTTTTTTTGTATACAGTATAAATATAAAATATTTTGCCATTAAAATTTTAAATGATTAAGAAGCAGTTCTAAATTTGATATGTATATGTCTATTAAACTAATAAATTCTAATTTGTAAATAGTAAATAAATTAATTTAAAAATACAGATATTGTTGTTCTAGTGAAAATAATTAATTTACTATACTAAATAAAAGTTATAGATTCGTGGCATCAAAATATAAATCATTCACCAATATTTATATCGAATTGAAAATTAGCAACCCTATGATTATAATCAATATTAAAGATTTTCAAAACTTTATAATTGTCAACTGCTTTTTGAAATTCAGTTTCGGGATTTCCGGGTAGGTGCTTGTAAATAAAGTTCGATATTTCTGGTTTTTTCAAGTTAACATTTGGCCTTAATGTTTCAATTAAACTTCTTCGTAAAAAGCATTCTTGAGTTTCTTGCTTAATTTCTGCAAACGAGTCTATTAAAATTTTTCCAATATCATCTAGACGATGTTCAAAAAGGTGAAGAATATCGATAATTATATTATAATTTAATTGAAATCCTAGATCAATTAATGTATCAAGGCGTTCTTTGACATCTTTAACACTTGGTTTAGTCCATCCAAGAGGTTGTGCTGGTGGGAAAAGAATTAATATTGCTCCTTGAATTACAAGATCATTGACGTCTTCACAAATTTCAAAGTAACCGATTTTTTTCCATAAGTGTACGAGGTCTTTATTGATTAAAATAGACCTTGCGATTATGTTAAGTTGACGAGTATTTTCATGGCCATCTTTTGGTGGATATTCTTCTATAGGATTAATCTGTCTATCATCAGAGTTTCGTGGTGGAAAAGGTATAAATTTTTTATGTAAAATTAAATCTATAATATCATCTTTGTTTCTTTTTAAAATTGTCGATGCAACATTAATACTATGAGGGCCTCCAGTCAAAAGATGAAAGAGTTCCAAATCATTGCCTTTTATGCATAATTTATCTTTAAATTGATTACTTGCTTCTGTTAATAAAAATATGTAAACAGAAATTGGCAGATTACTGGCCCAATGAATAATATTTTGTTGTATTCCAACTATATTGGTTTGCCCTATATTGTGGGAGATCTTTAACTCGATAAGTTTTTGATCATATTCACCATAATGGATAATCAGCCGCTGCGCAAAATACCTTGAAAGGATTCCGCCTTTAGAAATAATAGCTTGAGCAACATCGACAGAAATAAATGTGGGGCCCAATCGAATTGCGTTGAAAAGACAATGAGCTCGTCCAAATTGAAAGATAATCCATTCTGCTTTTGATTGGGAATCTTTACATATAAAAGAACATCGTTTACAACTTATCATCAAATTTAAAGGATGCTTAACAAATTTAAACATATATATCATAACTTCATTAGGAAGTTCATATTGAAAATAATTTTTCTTTGTAACATAATCTGACATCTATATATAAAAAGAACATATTTTAAATTAGAGTTAGAGAAAACTTATAACATTGAAGCTAATAAACTTATAACATTGAAGCTAATAAACTTATAACATTGAAGCTAATATTGGTATTTATGTCAACTCTTGTACACCAAACAAAATTGTTTGTGATCTACAAATCACCTGGTGAAACAACGATGAGTAATGTGACAAGAATTAATTGCCATTGTAATGTGTAACACCAAGCATTGTAATTCTGCGTCACGTTACTTTACGTTGTTTCACCAGATGACTAGAGATTGAATTTTCCCACGACAAATTATAGCACCAAAATTCATTTAGCACCATCTTTAAAACAATGAAGGCTTTTCTTTTTTTTTTTTTTAAAAAAAAAAAAAAAAAAAAAAAAAAAAAAAAAAAAACCCAACAAAAAAAACAAAAAAAAAATAAAAAAAGAAAATAT